CCAAAGTCAGACACCTAACTGACTGAGACACCCAGGCTCCTGTATTTCAATATTATCTAAGATTATATTCAAGACAGGATTGCTTGAGAGTTTAGTAGGTAGCCTTGCCTTTTCCTGTTCAAAACCAGGTACAGGATTGTTTCAGTGAATATTTAAACTTTAGCAAATTAATGCTAAACCAGCTAAATCTCGCCCAAGAAGCTTAAGTTTTTTTTTTTAAAGTTAAAGGCATAATTCATTTTCAACATGTCTGTTTCTATGCCCTTCACCCCTTTCTTTACTTGTTTTCCTTTGAAAGCAAAGATAACTTTTCTCCCTTGGGGCTTGTTAGCTAAGGATCGATCAAAACTGAATTGCCTGCTGTTTCTTGCTCAAAGTGAGAAGGTCAAGAATGTTCTAGATTACAGGGCTGAAAGATGCTTAAAAATGGAGTGCTCTTTTAAGAGTCTTCCAGAAAGAAAGGTGAACACTCCATCTTTGGAAGACCTGATATGAGGGCAGAAAAAAAAATTGTAGTTACTGCAGTAATTTTGGGTTTAAAATTGTATCGATGGAATGCGTGGCTTTTTTTTTTTTAAATATTTATACATATATCCAAAAGTGCAAATTGACTATTCCCTGGAACTAGAGAATTTCCTGTAAGGCTGTGCTAATCCTAGTGATGTGTCACATAGTAACCACGTGGGCTTTGCTTGGATGACACATATATCTGACCCTCAGGCGTGGGTACAAGCTCTGTCATACGCACCGTCTGTAACTTTGCACAGTGAGTTACCCTGACGAGCCTTAATGATGAAACACATCCAGGCAGTTCATTCGTATTAATCCTGGTAAGAGACACCCAGGATAAAAGTTACATGTCATCCGTCTGTAAGTGTCCAGTCTGGGGGTGTTAAGTAGGTTCACACTGTTGGGCCACAGTCCCCAGCAGCCATGTCTAAAACTTCTTCATCTTGTAGAACAGAATCTGTGTCCCCATGAACCACGAAGTCCCCATTCGGCCCTCCGTCCACCCCTGGAACCATGATTCTATGTTCTGTCTATCTCTGTGCCTTGTGTCTGTGTGTATTCTAGGTACCTCATATAGGAGGACACACACAGGGTTTGTCCTTTCCTGACTGGCTTTTCGAACTTGGCATGACGTCCTCACCGTTTTTTCAAGTTGCAGCATGTGACAGGATTTCCGCTCCCCCCAGCGCCCCCAGCCTTTTTTTGTGTGTGTGTGTTTATCCACGCATCTGGTGACACTCATTTGAGTTGTTTTCCCTCCGTGGCTATTGCAGATAATGCTGCTGTGCACATTGGGGTACACTTATCTCTCTGAGACCGTGATTTCGGTTTTTGTGGTTCTATAGCCAGGAGTGGGATTGGCAGATTATATGGCAGTTCCGTGGTCAGTCTCCTGAGGAACCGCCAGACTGTTTTCCTGAGTGGCTGTACCATGCTGTCCTCCCTCCGACTGTCCACAACTGTTGCATTTTCACCAACACGTGTTGTTTTCTGTGGGTCTTGCTTGCTGTTGTTTGTAGCCACTCAAAGAAATGAGAGGTATCGACTCACTGTCCTTTTGATTTGCATGTCTCTGAGGATGACGGATGCAGGGCATCAGCTCATAGGCTTTGGCTGCTTTCGTGTCTTCCGTGGAGAAATGTTTGTTTAGTCCTGTGCTCGTTTTTAAAACAGGGTTCACGTTGGGTTGTTGTTACATTGTAGGAGTCCTCTATGTGTTCTGGATAAACCCCTTATCAGATACATGCTTTGCAAATTCTTACGTTTCCTGTTTCCTGGGTGGCGCTCTTCCCCATCTTGATTGTGTCCTTTGATGTGCAGAATTAAAAAATCCCTTTTAATGTTTGTTTATTTTTGAGAGAGAGAGAAAGAGAGAGACAGGGTGCGAGCAGAGGAGCGGCAGAGAGAGGGAGACACAGAATCTGAAGCAGGCTCCAGGCTCCGAGCTGTCAGCACAGAGCCCCACATGGGTCTTGAGCCCACAAACCATGAAACCATGACCTGAGCCGAAGTTAGATGCTTAACCGACTGAGCCACCCAGGTGCCCCTGATGTGCAGAATTTTTTAAGACTGATGCAGTTCCATTTTGCCATGTTTGCTCTCACTGCCTGTGCTTTTGGTGTCCTATCCAAGACATCATTACAAAATCCAACGTCATAAACGTTTACCATGTTTTCTTCTAAGAATTTTCTACTTAGGTCTTTAATTTTGAGTTGATCTTTGTATGTAAGATAAGGGTGTGACTTCATTCTTTTGCATGTGGATAGCCCGTATTCCCGATTTGGTGGAAATTTGTTGAAGAGACCGCCATTTCCCTAATGAATGCATCTTGTTGAAGATCATTCAGTCCTATGTGTGAGGGTTTATTTCTGTGCTTTCTGTTCTGTTCCGTTGGTCTGTATGGCGCTACCACATTGCTTCGACTGTTATAATTATATGTTTTCAAATCAAGAAGTGCAAAACCTCCAACTTTTATTTTTCCTTTTCAGTATTTTTTTTTAATTTTAATTTTTTAATTTTTAATTATTTATTTTTTTTTAACGTTTATTTATTTTTGAGACAGAAAGAGGCAGAGCATGAACACGGGAGGGGCAGAGAGAGAGGGAGACACAGAATCCGGAACAGGCTCCAGGCTCCGAGCTGTCAGCACAGAGCCCGACGCGGGGCTCGAACTCACGGACCGTGAGATCATGATCTGAGCCAAAGTCGGAAGCTTAACCGACCGAGCCACCCAGGCTCCCCTAATTTTAATTTTTTTTTAAAACAATTTATTGTTGAGAGAGAGAGAGACAGAGCACGAGCAGGGTAGGGAGGGGCAGAGAGAGATGGAAACACAGAATCCAAAGCAGGTTCCAGGCTCCCAGCTGTCAGCACACAGCCTGATGCGGGGCTCGAACTCGTGAATCCGACATCATGACCTGAGCCAAAGTCCAACACAACTGACTGAGTCCACCCAGGCGTCCTTTCCTTTTCAGTATTTTTATGGCTATTCAGAGTCCTTGAGAGTCTAGGTAAATTTTAGGATGGATTTCTGTATTTATGCAAAAAATGTTAGTAGGATTTTGGTATTGATTGCTTAGAATCTGCATATTGCTTTGGGTAGTGTGGACATTTTAACAATATCAGATT